GCCTTAGCTGCTTGAGCCACAGGCGCTGAGCCTGTATAGTTTCTCAGATGAGCGGACATTGACACTCGAGCTGGATGATTGTTGTTGAGGGGCTGTCCTGTGCCTTCTGAGATGTTCTACAGTATCTCTACTAGAGTCCAGCAGCATCTTCCCTGCTTCCTGCCTTAGGACAACCAAAAATACCTTCAGACATTGCTAAATATCCCTTGGGATTCAAAATTGTCTCAGAGTTATGGTCTATACTATTTCTATGCTATTTCTTTCTCCCTCTCTCCCTCCCTCCTTCTCTCTTCCCCTCTCCTTTCCTCTGTCCCTCCTTTCTTTCCTGCTTCCCTTGGTTCCTTCCTGTCAGAATGCTGATTGTTTTCAATACCAAGTAAAAGATTACAATGCATAGTTTGAAAAACCCTATTCTAAAGCAAGGGCCAGAAGTTCAAATGTCTGTATTGGCCAGGCAAGTGAGTCAAGATAGGTAACTATTTCTAAGAAATTATGAGAATGGGCTGGGGACAGTGGCTCATGCTTGTAATCTTAGCAGTCTGGGGGGCTGAGATGGGAGGATCACTTGAGGTCAGGAGTTCAAGACCAGCCTGAGCAAAAGTGAGACTCTATTTCTGCTAAAAATAGAAAAATCAGCTGAACATCATCACACACATGCCTGTAGTCCTAGCTATTTCTTGGGAAACTGAGGCAGGAGGATTGTTTGAGCCCAGGAGTTTGAGGTTCTGTGAGCTAGGCTGAGACCATGGCATTTTAGCCTGGGCAATAGAGTGAGATTCTGTCTCTAAAAAAAAGAAAAGAAAAGAAATTATGGGAACATAGACAAATGACAATTGACACTCAGCTTCAAAGTTTGGAAAATAATTTCCTACATGGCAATAATTGATCAGAGAGAACAGAATCCCTGAGGGCCCCTCACCTTCTGCATGGGATATTCCTGCTTCACCCTGCCCCACCCCTGTACTGCCCCCTCTCTGAAGGAATTCATGGTGGTGGCACTAGGGCAGGTTCCTCATCCACCATGCCGTTTCAGAAATAATTCTCTGGTACAGCGTTTTCCACATCCCATCTTCTCTTCCTGCTTGGAGTGTTTAAGAGGACTGTGCCTCACAGTAAGAAAAATGAAACTGTCTTGAATCACAGGATGGATCCTCCTCAAATCCAAATACTGCCAACTCCAGCTCTAGCTCCAGGGATCCAAAGAGCTTGCAAGAGGAAAGTGAAGGGAACATCGTGGAGAGAGATAGCTCCAATATTCTAACCACTCTGCATGCAGAAGAGAATTCCACATTGCCAAAGAACAACCCAGCAACCAGCTCAGCCACTGTGATAACAGCTGGCACCACTGGTCAACCTACCACCCTGCCAACTACCCAGCCCCCGACAGAGCCTCCTACCCAGCCCATGCCTGAGCCCTTCTGCCCAGAGCCTGGTGCTCTCTGCTCTGATCTGGAGACTCATTCTGCAGAAGCAGTGTTGGGGGAGGCCTTGGTAGATTTCTCCCTGAAACTCTACCAGGCCTTCTCAGCAGTGAAGAAGCCTGAGACCAACTTGGCCTTTTCCCCATTCAGCATCGCCAGCCTCCTCACTCAAGTCCTGCTTGGTAAGACCCTAATTGAATTCTCTCCGTGTTCTCCAGGTCTCTCTGTGACCCAACTCCCAGATGCTTTTTTTTTTTTTTTTTTGAGACAGAGTCTCACTATGTCACCCTCAGTAGACTGCCGTGGCATCACAGTTCACAGCAACTTCTAACTCTTGAGTGTAAACGATTCTCTTGCCTTAGTCTCCCAAGTAGCTAGGACTCTAGGCACCTGCCACAATGCCTGGCTATTTTTTTGTTGTTGTTGTAGTTGTCATTGTTGTTTTTAGCAGGCCTTGGCCAGGTTCAAACCTGCCAGCCCCGGTGTATGTGGCTAGCACCATAACCACTGAGCTACGGGCACCAAGCCCCAGATTCTTTCTGTAAAGCTATGCTTCTGTGAGGAAGCTGTAAAAATGGGGTATATTTGGGGAGAGTGGGGGCATATTTCTTCTCATTCTTTTTTTTTTTGTAGAGACAGAGTCTCACTTTTCGCCCTTGGTAGAGTACAGTGGAGTCGCTCCAGCAACCTCCAACTCCTGGGCTTAGGCGATTCTTCTGCCTCAGCCTCCCTAGTAGCTGGGACTACAGGTGCCTGCCACAACGCCCGGCTATTTTTTGTTGCAGTTTGGCCGGGGCTGGGTTTGAACCCGCCACCCTAGGTATATGGGGCCGGCGCCCTACTCACTGAGCCACAGGCACCTCCCTCTTCTCATTCTTGAACATTCCTTCGTTTAACAATGATTTCCTAGGCTGAGGCAAGGGGATCTTCTAGACACCACAGCACACTATACAGGGTGCAGAGTGAGACTCTGTCTCAAAAAAAATTAATAACAATGATTTTCTAACTCTGTGACCCAGGACAGATTACTTAACCTCTCTGAGCCTTGAGTCCTTATGTGTAAAGTGGTACTGGTGATACCTACCTCAAAAGGTAAAGAAGTAGATAGCCTGACTTGGTGGGAGGTCAAAAAAGTGTTTGTCCCACTGTCATTTGAGAGGTTACTGTGAAGTTCCATGTGGTAATCACCCCAGGAATGGCACAAACAAATTACTACAAGCAGCAGCAGTTGTCATTCCCAAGGGGGCATTCAAAGAAGGCTACAAGAGGCAATACAGTGGGTATATAAGAACCATTATTCCGACTTGCCACTTGTAGCACAGTGGTTACGGTGCCAGCCACATACACCAAGCTCGGCAGGTTCAAACCCAGCCTGGTCTAGCTAAACAACAATGACAACTGTGTCAAAAAATAGCCGGGCATTGTGGCAGGTGCCTGTAGTCCCAGCTACTTGGGAGGCTGAGGCAAGAGAATCGCTTAAGCCCAAGAGTTTGAGGTTGCTGTGAGCTGTGACACCACAGCACTCTACTGAGGGTGACATAGTGAGACTCTGTCTCAAAAAAAAAAAGGACCATTATTCTGAGGTCTCAGAATCCCAGTGTCTCTCTTAGATGCCAGTGGCACCCTTCTCCCCAGTTACCGCAACAGACATTGCCAAAGGTCTCCTGGGAGGCACATTCCATTCAACTGATTTCAGTTACTTTCTTTATTGTTCCCCAAAATACAACACAAGTCCTTCTACATCCACCATATATTAGCTCTCTGCCCTTAAATGAATGGACTACCAAATCTCTCTCTCTTTTTTTTTTGAGATGGAGTCTCACTATGTCACCTTGAGTAGAGTGCCATGGTGTCATAGCTCACAGCGACCTCAAACTCTTGGGCTTACGCGATTCTCTTGCCTCAGTCTCCCAAGTAGCTGGGACTACAGGCACCTGCTACAAGACCTAGCTATTTTTTTGTTGCAGTTGTCATTGTTGTTTAGCTTGCTCATGCCAGGTTTGAACCTGCCAGCATTGGTGTCTGTGGCCGGTGCCCTACCCACTAAGTGACGGGCTCTGCCAGAGTACCAAATCTCTTAAACCTCAGTTTCCTTGCCTGTATAGCAGGAATAGTAATTGTCCTACATAAAAGACTATGGTAAAGATTCAAAACCATGATATGGGAGAAGCCCTTAGGAGATCTAGAACCAAGTGAAATGCTCAATAGATTTTAGCTGTTATTACACAGAAGACACGTACAATACATATTTAATAATGAATAGCTGAAGTGGACGGTGCCTGTGGCTCAAGGAGTAGGACACTGGCCCCATATGCCAAGGGTGTTCAAACCCAGCATGGGCAAAAAAACTGCAAAAAAAAAAAAAAAACGGAATAGCTGAAGTGATATTGTGTATCCGTTCTCTTTTATGATTATCTGATTTCTCTTCTAAATAGTAATCTGGTGTCGCTGCCCATGGGGCAAATCTTTGTAAACCCAAACCAACTAAGTAATAGTTAATGCAGAACAGCCAGTGATTGGTTGGACATGGCTTTGAAAGATGAGCAGGATTTAAACAGGTAGAGAAAAGGGGGGAGGAGAGTAGTGAAAGCCTAACTTTGTGATTATTCATAATTCCCACACCCCTGCCTTTCTCACATAGATATTATCTTCCGGAGAACAAAGATTCTTCCTTACATCTTTGATCCACAGCATAGCCGGGAACACCTTCCATTCCAGCCTGGTCCCTCAACCCTGGTCCCAAATGGTGGATCTCCCACCCTGCCTGCAAGTGTCCCTCACCTCTGCCTTTTGTTATAGGGGCTGGAAACAGCACCAGAAGAAACCTAGAGAGTGTCCTCTCCTACCCTGAGGACTTCACCTGTGTCCACCAGGCACTGAAGACCTTCAAGTCCAAAGGCGTCACCTCAGTCTCTCAGATCTTCCACAGCCCAGGTGAGTACCCAGGGAGGAGCAGCAGCTGCAGAGGAGGGTCCTGAAGGGATTACGGGATGGGGACCCAGCACCAGCACTGGGGAAGATAGGACAGAGGGAATGTTGAAGCTGGACTATCAGGGACAGGCTGCAGAGCAGGTGAGGGCCTTGGAGAAGTTTCTAATAGCTCTGGGAGCTGTACTGTTCCTCTGGTGAGACCTTGGGCAAGTCATTTGCTTGCATCAACTCCTTTCAGAATACACTATCCTCATGCATTTCTGAATAGATAGGGCAAGAGACTGGGCAGGTGGCTCATGCCTGTAATCTTAGCACTCTGGGAGGCCTAAGTGGAAGGATCCCTGGAGCTCAGGAGTTTGAGACCAGCCTGAGCAGGAACAAGACCCCATTTCTCCTAAAAATAGAAAAATTAGCCAGGTATTATGATGGGAACCTGTGGTCCCAGCTACTTGGGAGCTGAGGCAGGAGGCTCCCTTGAGCCCAGGAGCTTCAACTTGCAATGAGCTCTGGATGATGATGCCACTGCACTCCAACCTGGGTCACAGAAAGAGACTCCATCTCAAAAAAAAGAAAGAAAGAAAGAAAGAAAAAATAATAGAAAATAATAGAGCTAGAGAGTTAGAGTTATAGACATAAAATACCCATAACATTTTTGGGTCAAAGGAGTCTTGGGACTCTGTATTTTTGTGTTTTTTGAATTCGTTATCATTTACATGTATTGTTATTACCTAGGTAATAATGGTAATAAAGAGTGATAAGAAGTTTGTAAAAGGATCTAATGTGGTTGTTTTCAAACTTTATCCCTCAGAGCCCTAGAGTTCTGCAGAGCTGCTTCAGGAGTCCAGTGGGAGCAGGGTCATGGGGAGGTGGAGTGGTGGGGAGTGGGGGCACCCTTCCTACAAGCGGGAGAGTGCCAGCGGGGCTCTGACTGCTCACCTACCCTCTACCAGGGCCTTTTTATACCAGGGGCTTCAGACATGACTTTATTTGAAAACACACTTTGGCTGATGCTTTATAAGGTTTAAAAACCATAGTTCTTATTTAAACCCCCTCCCCCATTTTAGAAAAAGGAAAATGTTTGCCTCAGGCTTTTTTTTGAAAAAAAACTATGAAAACAATATTCATTCATTATAGAAAACTGAGAAAATAATAGAGAAAAAAAAGGGAAAAAAACAAGAAAAATCCCCTATCACCTCATCATCTAAAAAACACTCCTTTTAGATGTGGTAATACGGCTCAGAGATACTCATGAAATGCTGAAGTGAATTATTACTTATAAAGCTATAAGTCTGCTTTATCCTCTGTCTTGCTAGGTTGATGAAAAATACTGTCTCTTGACTATATTTTAAGCTTGCATTCAATACATTAGGGCTTTTGTCCCCCTCTCAGGCCTGCCCTGGGGTTGTGCCCAGGTTCTTGGTCTCATGCTATACCTCATTATCAGCAAAGCCTGGGGAAACATCTTTAATCTGTTTAGCACAGGATGGATTTCTCTCTCAATACTGTTTTCTTGAGTGGATTGAAGTCTTTTGGAGAGCAAAAACCAGGAAGTTTTGTCACAAGCTTCCACTGAGGCCAGGAAGCAGAGTCTGTTCCCTGATAAATTAAAAGAAGAAAGAAGGAAAAACACAGGCAAGTGGAAGTTAATATCTCAGAAGAGTTAGCATCTTGCCAAGCCATGGTCACATGGCAAGCCGAGGCAGCGAGGGTGTAGGAGCAGCTCTCCTGTTCTTAGTTCGGGTTTTGCCTATTTGGGGCCTTATGCCACATCTATAAGAGGAGTGGACTGGACCTTGCTCCAACATGCTGTGTTCAGTAGAATCAGCAGAAAGAGCCATGGAAAGCATGTTACTCTCAGCACTTGCTCTTGGAAGGGGAAGAGGTATTCAAGGGACTCATGCCTCTCCCTCTCATCCTGTCCTCCAGACCTGGCCATAAGGGACACTTTTGTGAACGCCTCTCAGAGTCTATATGGCAGCAGCCCCAGAGTCCTGGGCAATGACAGTGATGCCAACTTGGAATTTGTCAACAACTGGGTGGCCGAGAACACCAATCACAAGATCAGGCAGCTGCTGGACAGCCTGCCTTTGGACACTCGCCTTGTCCTCCTCAATGCCGTCTACCTGAGTGGTAAGGGGGCCCTTGGCTAGGTGGTCTTCCCATCCTGGCTTCCTCTTTCCCTCCTGGTTTCAAAGCCCACCAAGCCCCAAGTTCCACCACCAGATCCTAGGATATTTGTGTTCCCTTTGCTAAAAAGGCCTTTAGCTCCTCTTCTTCCTTTTTCTGCCTGATTTAGAGCAATGCTTTCCCTCTTTCTTCCTTCCAGCCAAGTGGAAGACAGCATTTTCTCAAAGTAAAACCAGGATGGAGCCCTTTTACTTCAAAGACTCTGTTAGAAAAGTGCCAATGATGAATAGCAAGAAGTATCCTATGACCCATTTCATTGACCCAACTTTGAAGGCCAAGGTAGGTTCTTGACACTTCCCACTCCTGTTTCAGACCCATCTGAGTGTCCTGATTTCTTTTCTGCTATGGTCCCATCATTTGGGGGGAAACTCTTACGAATTCATCAGTTTTACTCCTCCCATCTGTGTTTCCACCCTGTCTCTTCTCCTTCTCCTTTCTCCAGCCTTGGCCGAGGCAGGCATTGTATGTTTTAGGGTGGAAGACAGGATTCTAAAGTTTCTTCATGCATCTCTACTGCATCAAATGGCAAAAAGTAAGTCGTGTTCCTGTTCTGTGCATCTGTTTCTCTTTCTAGTCAACCCACCAGGAGACCCTGGTGGCTCAGCAAGTCCTGTGTACATGTGTGTACCATATGCATGTGTGCACGTTATAGGTATATCCATGTATATGCATATGTGTGGTAAGTGCATGAGTTGCACATGTGTTAAATAGCTTACATTCCTTAGGAGAAACTGAACACATATAACTTGAATGAGTAGAGAGGGACAGAAAATAAAATATGGAACCCAGAGTATTCTCCTAAGTAAACTATTTCACGGCCAGTGACCAGATATTTCTGCTTTGTTAAGACAGCAAAACAAAGACCGGTGAGATGGAAAACAAGGGGAGACACCCAATGTCTCAGTCCCAGGCTGAGCAGTAAAGACTCTGCTCCTGGAACATGCCAGGCTGGTTTCCACCTTGGGAGTTTTCACTTAGCTTTTCCCTCTGCCTGATCATTCCTCACGTGGACCTTCACATAGCTTGTTCCTTCTGGTCACTGGGTGTCAGCTCAAAGATTACCTTGGTGGAGAGAGAGGACGTCTCCCCCTTAAAGAAGCTTCCCTCTCACGCTGTAACAGTGCCTTCTTTTATTATAGTCACAGTATCATCCTCACCTGAAAATTGCCATTTATTTGCTTATTTGATAACTATTTTCTGTCTCCCTGAGATATTGTCTGTCTACTTGGATAAGGAACCCTGTCCTGTTTCCTTCTATATCTATGGTGCCAAGAACAATGGTGCCTATAAGGGATGCTCATTCAGTGTTTGCAGAATGCATAAATGGATGACAGAGAGAGCCCCAAATGGAACTATCACTTAGTACGAGTGGCTAGAAGACTGCATGGGGGTTACTCTGACCGTTCTTTCCTCATTTACTTATCCCATTCATGCACTTATCCACCTATCCATTCATACCTATCCAATGTATTTTGGCCATTCATGACTCATTTAACAGAACCTGAGCATGTATAAGGCACAGGAGAGTGAGTGTTTGAGACATGTTCCCGGCATCACTCTGACCTAGGATAAAGGGTGGAGGGATCATCATAAATATTATCTTTTTTGAGACAGAGCCTCAAGCTGTCACCCTGGGTAGAGTGCTATGGCATCACAATTCACAGCAACCTCCAACTCCTAGGCTCAAGCGAGTCTCCTGCCTCAGCCTCCCAAGTAGCTGGGACCATAGGCGCCCCAAATGCCCGGCTATTTTTTGGTTGCAGCTGTCATTGTTGTTTGGCAGGCCTGGGCTGGATTTGAACCTGCCACCTTAGGTGTATGTGGCTGGTGCCTTAGTCGCTTGAGCCACAGGCGCCGAGCCCGTAAATATTATTTTAATGCCAGAGGAGGAGGAGGAATTTTATGCACAAAAACTATTATTTGGCCAGGTGCTGTGGCTCATGCCTGTAATCCTAGCACTCTGGGTGGCCAAGGTGGATGGATTGCCCTGAGCTCCCACGTTCCAGACCACCCTGAGCAAGAGCGAGACCCTATCTCTAAAAATAGCCAGGCACTGTGGTAGGCACCTGTGGTCCCAACTAGTTGGAAGGCTGAAGCAAGAGAATCTCTTGTGTCCAAGAGTTGGAGGTTGCTGTGAGCTATGAGGCTCTCTACTGAGGGTAACAAAGTGAGACTCTGTCAAAACAAACAAACAAAAAAACCCCACATTATTTACAATTCCTTGGATTTTAACAACAACAAAATAAATAGCCGGGTGTTCTGGCAGGCGCCTATAGTACCAGCTACTCAAGAGGCTGAGGCAAAAGAATTGCCTAAGCCCAGGAGTTGAAGATTGCTGTGACCTGTGATGCTATAGCACTCTACAGAGGGCAATGAAGTAAGACTTTGTCTCTAAAAAATAAAAATAAAAATTCCTTCGGTTTTAAACAGACATTTAATTTAAAGTTTTAACATTATAGAAGTTTTACTTAGGCCTTTAAATTTTTTTTTGATTTTTTTTTTTTTTTTTTTTTTTTGAGGCAGAGTCATACTCTGTTGTCCAGGCTAGAATGCCATGGCATTAGCCCAGCTCTTAACAACCTCAAACTCCTGGGTTTAAGCTATCCTCCTGCCTCAGCCTCCTGAGTAGCTGGGACTACAGGTGCTTGCCACCACCAGACTCAGCTAATTTTCTCTTTTTGGTAGAGACAGGGTGGTCTCTCCAAGGCAGGTTCTTGCTCGGCTGGTTTCAAACTCCTGAGCACAAGGGATCCTCCCGCCTTGGCTTTCCAGAGTGCTAGGATTACACGTGTGAGCCACTGCTCCTGGCCTAGGCCTTTTAATTTTAAGCTGAGCTTGCTACGTTATTTATAATAGAGTAATTTTTACATAAAAAAAACACCAAACTATGCCAGGCATGGTGGCTCACACTTATAATCCTAGCATTCTAAGAGGCTGAGATGAGAAGATCACTTTTGCTCTGGAATTCGAGACCTCAAACTCTTGGGCTCAAATGATCCTCTTGCCTCAGCTCCTGAGTAGCTGGGACTAGAAGAGCCTACCACAATGCTCAACTATTTTTAGAGATGGGGTCTTGCTCTTGCTCAGGCTGGTCTTGACATCCTGAACTTAGAGTGCTAGGCTTATAGGTTTAAGCCATCACACACAGCTGAGAACCCCTGTACTAAACTTGTGGGTCCTACGCTTCTCCCATTCTTTTTTTTGGCCTTCAGTTGAAAGTCCTTCTAATAGCAATCTAGAAAGGTAGCTAAGATCAGCCATGAATGATCTTCAATGCCACATTCAGAAACTTGTACTTACTCTCAAAGGTAGCGAAGCACCATCCATAGTTCTTAAAGGAACTGACCTGATAACTCTGGTGGTATGTTGTCTGTGTTATATACTGTCCATATAACATGCTTGGAAAGAAGGGAAGGCAGGTGGCACCTGTGGCAAGGAGTAGGGCGCCAGCCTCATATACCAGAGGTGGTGGGTTCAAACCCAGCCTCGGCCAAAAAAAAAAACCGCAAACAAGAAAGGAAGGCGGCTCAGAGAGAGCAAACACTTGCCCATATTATGTAATGAGTCAGTGGTAAAGTCAGGGTGTAATCAACAACTCGTGTTCACTCCACCTTCCCTCACCCGCACAGAGTCAGACCAGCACTGTTCACCCAGTGGGGTATCCCATTTCCTGGCAATGTCTGGAATAGTATAGATCATAGCAGCCAACTGCAGGACAGCCTTGGGACACAGAGGACAGGGGTCAGGAGAGCTGGGGTAGGAAGACTGAAAAGGTACCTGTCTTATTCTCTAGGTGGGGCAGCTGCAGCTCTCACACAACCTGAGCTTGGTGCTCCTGGTGCCCCAGAGCCTGAAACACCATCTCGAAGACATGGAGCAGGCTCTCAACCCCACTGTGCTAAAGGCCATCATGAGGAAGTTGGAGATGTCCAAATTCCACCCCACTCTGCTAATGATGCCCCGCATCAAAGTGAAGACCAGCCAGGACATGCTGTCAGTCATGGAGAAGCTGGGTGAGCTCCGGCAGCGAGGGGTTACTCTCAGGCCATCAGAGGAGAAAAAGGAGATCCCTAAAATGTGGTCAAAATTCTCTAGAATATTTTTGATATCCATGATCTCAGGTTGTTCCTCAATCTGGTGAGTTAGAGGGGCAGGTGCTATTATCCTATTGGGCCATTGAAGAAACCAAGACTTGGAAACTTTATATGACTTACCCCAAATTTCCACGACTTATTCATTAAGCTAGGTAGAGGCAAACCAAAATGCCAGTCCAGGTCTTCAGCTCTTGTGACGGTTTCCACTGTGGTTCATGGCAATGTAGGCAGTGGGACAAGTGACCAGGGTGGGTTACAGTTATAGATGCTCCTTCCCCAGAGACATTTTTCAGCAGTCAACCACACCATGGGATGGTTAAGAGGCTCTCTGGATGTGAGGGTCTGGAGGCTTCTGAGGTGAAGAGAGGCAACAGAGACTCCACTGACCTCTGACCTCAGGTCTGGCTTTGCTACTTCATGTCCTGTTAGAGAACGTGACCACCAAACACATGATCTCATTTCCTAGTACAATGGCATCTGTAAAGGAAGAATGAACTGTTTTTATCTACACTTCTGACCACCCAAAGTGTGGGGTGTTTTCTCCACACCAAGTAGTTCTTTAATTTTGTGGGGACACCCAAGGCGTCCTACAATTCAGTTCAATTCTGACACTGTCTCCCTGAGGTAACGTCATCCCACAGGTTAAGGGCTCAGTCCCACAAGACTGTTCCCCACTGCAGACACCCGTTACAAGACCAAGTTGTTGGGGAGACTCAATGGCTCATGCCTATAATCCTTACACTCTTGAAAGGAGACTGAGGCAAGAGGATTGCTTGAGCTCAGGAGTTGGAGAACAGCCTGACCAAGAGTAAGACCCTGTCTATACTAAATAGAAAAATTAACCAGGTGTTATGGCAGGCACTGGGCTATTTGGGAGGCTGAGGCAGGAGAATCACTTGAGCCCAGGAGTTTGAGGTTGCTGTGAACTAGGCTGATGCCATTCAGCCCAGGTGACAGAGAGAGATCCTGTTTCAAAAATAAAAATAAAATCGGGAGGCTTGGCACCCGTAGCACAGTGGTTATGGTGCCAGCCACATACACCTGAGCTGGGGGGTTCAGATCCAGCCTGGGCCCACCAAACAACAATGATGGCTGCAACCAAAAAATAGCTGGGCATTGTGGCAGGTGCCTGTAGTCCCAGCTACTTGGGAGAGAGGCAGTAGACTTGCTTGAGCTCAGGAGTTGGAAGTTGCTGTGAGCTGTGATGCCATAGCACTCTACCCAGGGTGACAGCTTGAGGCTCTGTCTCAAAAAAAAATATATATATATATAGCCGGGCATTATGGTGGGTGCCTATAGTCCCAGCTACTTGGGAGGCTGAGGCAAGAGGATCGCTTAAGCCCAGGAGTTTAAGGTTGCTATGAGCTGTGACACCATGGCACTCTACCTAGGGTAACATAGTGAGACTCTGTCTCGAAAATAAATAAATAAATAAATAAATATAAAATAAAATAAAATTGGGAGGCTGAGGCAAGAGAATCACTTGAGCCCAAGAGTTTGGGGTTGCTGTAAGCTGTGAGGCCACAGTATTCTACTGAGGATGACAAAGTGAAACTCTGTCTCAAAAAAAAATAATATAAAATAAAACAGGTTGTCACTTGTGCTTCTGACCAACTGGCTATAAATCAGAGGTTCCCACAACTCCCTCCTAGGATGGGATTATTTACTAAAATGGCTACAAAAGTCAGAGAAACACTTAGTTGTTCATTGGTTTACCGTAAATACATATATAAAGCCTGTGATAAAGGAAACAGAGGAACAGCCAGATGAGATGCACGGGGCAAAGTCTGGAAGGGATCTGGGTGCAGGAGCTTCTATGCTGCGGAGCTGGGATATGCCACCCTCCTGCCATGTGTGTTTATCGCCCCAGAAGCTCTCAGAACCCTGTGCTTTAGGGATTTAAATGGTGACATGATGGATTACTAACTCGATCTCCAGCTCCTCTCCCCTCCCCAAAGGATAGGGTGTGGGGCTAAAAGTGCCAAGCTTCTGCCATGGCTTGGTCTTTATGGTGACCAGCTCCCATCCAGAAGCCAATAAGAGTCACCTCCTTAACACGACAGGTGTTCCTATCACCCAGGACATTCCAAGGGAGTTAGGAGCTCTATTTAGGAACTGGGGCAAAGGGCCAAATACTAGAGCAAAAGACGCTCTTAGCACCCCATCTTTGTAGAAATTACAAGTGTTTTAGGAGCTCTGTGTCAGGATGGGGACAAAGACCAATATATCCACGTCTCGCTATTGCACGGCATCACAGCCTTCTATAGTCTCATTTATGATACATGAACTATCTCTAATACGTTTCCTTGTTTCCAAGGTCCTAGTAAGCGAGGAAGCAAAGACATCATTTTTCAGAATTTCCTTTTTTTTTTTTTTTTTTTTTTTTGAGATGGGGGGTCTCAGTCTTGCTCAAACTGGTCTTTTTTTTTTTTTGAGACAGAGCCTCAAGCCGTCCCCCTGGGCAGAGTGCCGTGGCATCACAGCTCACGGCAACCTCCAACTCCTGGGCTCAAGCGAGTCTCCTGCCTCCGCCTCCCAAGTAGCTGGGACCACAGGCGCCCGCCACAACGCCCGGCCATTTTCTGGCTGCAGTCATCATTGTTGTTTGGCGGGTCCGGGCTGGGGATTCGAACCCGCCACCCTAGGTGTACGTGGCTGGCGCCTTAGCCGGTTGAGCCACAGGCGCCGAGCCGCTCAAACTGGTCTTAAAACTCCTGAGCTCAGGCAATCCACCCACCTCAGCCTCCCAGAGTGTTAGCATTACAGGCCTGAGCCACCGCCCTGGCTAGGGGTTTCCTTTGTTTAGGGCTGGGGGCAAAGCTTCCCCCCTGTTGAGAGGGAGTGGCGTTTAGACCCACTGACAGAGGCTCTCACACACTAGACCACAAGACGCGGTATATAACCTGACAAGGGAGGAGGAGGAAGAGAGCGTGGGACTCAGGGTAAATTCCCAAAACTTCAGGACAAAGGTCTCTATCAGCTAAGGGTTTCACACTGGTCTCTCACTCTTGGTTTTTCTCTGCTTTTTTCCTAGAATTCTTTGACTTTTCTTATGACCTCGACCTATGTGGGCTGACCAAGGACCCGGATCTCGCGGTCTCTGCGATGCAGCACCAGTCGGTGCTGGAGCTGACAGAGACTGGGGTGGAGGCCGCCGCGGCGTCCTCCGTCTCTGTGGCCCGCACCTTGCTGGTGTTTGAAGTGCAGCAGCCGTTCCTCTTCCTGCTCTGGGACAACCAGCACAAGTACCCTGTCTTCATGGGGCGGGTTTATGACCCCAGGGCCTAAGACCTCCAGGGGCCAGGTTCGGGTGAGCTGAAGCTCTCTCAGAGGCAGCACTGCTGCTGCCTGCCTGGTCTTACCCCTGCCAGTGTCTTCTGTCTGCCACCTAAAGGGCCCCCTCAGGGTCTGACAAAGGGACCTCCTGCTATCAGCACTTCCCCATGGCTCTGCCATGCTCTCTACGCCACTTTATACAGCTTTGCAGCTTCTTCTGGTTCAAGTTCGTCATACTCTACAAATAAAACCTGGTAGACCATGACTTCCTTTATGGTGTCAGCCACTTCAATATTAGAGGACAAGAACTACCAGGGCTCCTCTACCAGCTAGCTGGTGCTGTGTAGTAAGTCACTCTAAGCTTAGGGGCTTAAAACAGCCACCTTGGCCAGGCACAGTGGCTCTTGCCTGTAATCCTAGCACTCTGGGAGGCTGAGGCAGGGGGATTGCTTGACCTTGAGGAGTTCCAGACCAGCCTAGGCAAAAGCAAGACCCCATCTCTAAAAAATAGCCCAGCGTTATGGGCACCTATAGTTCTAGCTACTTGGGAAGCTGGGGCAAGAGGGTCACTTGAACCCAAGAGTTTGAGGTTGCTGTGAGGTATGACACCGCAACACTCTACCAAGGGTGACAAAGTGAGACTCTGTCTCAAAAACTGCCCCCCCAAAATAAAAAACCCAGCCACCTTTCACATAAAGGTTGGCTGAGTGCTCCTGCTGATCTGGGCTCACTCCCATATCTATTATAGTTGGTAGGTTGACTTGGGGGTGACTGATCTTCAATGGCCCCAGCTGGGACACCTCAGCCCTCCTTCACAGGTCCTCCACATCCTTCCAGCAGGCTACCTGGTACCAGAAAGGAATCAGGGCAGTCTCTTTTTCACACCTTTGCTTGCATCACGCTTACCATTGTCCCATCGGCCAATGCAAGTCACACATCCAAACCCAGAGCGAGATGGAAAAGCACTACCAAGTTAGGGAGCAGAGAGCCATTAATGGGAGGCTGTTCACCCGATCCATTTGTCACAGTCCCCGTCTTGCTTGTTAGCCTGCAACAACTGTGATAACACTAATAACAGTAGCCAACATTGCTGGGAACTTACGCAGGCAGCCTGCTAAGAGCTTTGCAGATGCTTAATCCTCACAATAACTTTATATGGTAAACTTGGAGAAGCCAAATCTTGTGCAAAATCCCAGAGTTAGGAAATGATGGAACCAGGGTTTGATTGTACCTCTCCCTGACTCCGAAGTCTAAGCTTATAGCTGCTGTCTTCTCTATCTGTACCATTCTTTCCCATTCTTTTCTCTTGAAATTATGCCTATTTTTCTTTTTTTTCTTTTTTTAGACAGAGTCTTATTTTGTCACCATTGGTAAGAGTGCTATGGCATCATAGCTCACAGCAACCTCAAACTCTTTGGCTCAAGCAAGAGTAGCTGGGACCACAGGCGTCCACCACAACACCCGGCTATTTTCAGTGGCGGGATCTTGCTCTGGTTCAGGCTGGTCTTAAACCTGTGAGCTCAGGCAATCTACCCACCTCAGCTTCCCAGAGTGCTGGAATTACAGGCACCCAGCCTACCTTTTCCTTTTTTTTTTTGCAGTTTTTGGCCAGGGCTGGGTTTAAACCCGCCACCTCCGGCATATGGGGCTGGCACCCTACTCCTTGAGCGACAGGTGCCACCCATTTTCTTAATATTTTATTTGAAAAACTTTTTTTATTTAGAGATGGCCGGCTTGGCGCCTGTCGCTCAAGTGGCTAAGGTGCCAGCCACATACACCCAAGGTGGCAGGTTCAAATCCAGCCTGGGCCTGCCAAACAACAATGACGGCTGCAACCAAGAAAGAAAAATAGCCAGGCATTGTGGTGGGCGCCTGTGGTCCCAGCTATTCGGGAAGCTGAGGCAGGAGACTCGCATGAGCCCAGGGTTGGAGGTTGCTGTGAGCTGTGATGCCACAGCACTCTACCCAGGGGGACAGCTTGAGGCTCCTGTCTCAAAAAAAAAAAAAAGAGATGGCTACTTTTCCCAGGCAAGTATAGTGGCTATTCACAGGCCAAATCATAGTGTACTGTTGTCTTGAATTCCTGGCCTCAGGCAATCCTCCTGCCTCAGCCTCCTGAGTAGCTGGTACTACAAGTGTGCACCAAGATGCCCAGCTTGTTTAGGAGTCTTATTATTGGGGCTGAGTGCAGTGGCTCATACCTATAATCTTAGCACTCTGGGAGGTGGGAGGATGGCTTGAGTCCAGGAGTTTGAGGTTGGAATGAGCTACAGTGGCACCACTGCACTCTACCTGGGGTGACAGAGCAAAACTCTGTTTCAAAAAACAACAAAAACTTATTCTCGAGTGCCTGTCATTCAGGCATAAGATGTTACTATGCTAAGCACTGAGGATGTAAATATGATTTACCCCACTGCCTACTTTCAAAACATACCTCCTGGCCAGGTGTGGTGTCTCACTCCTGTAATCCTAACTAACATTCTGGGAGGCCAAGATGGGAGAATTGCCTGAGCTCGGGAGTTCAAGACCAGCCTGAGCAAGATGAAACCCCACCTCTACTAAAAATAGAGGAAAAAAGTTAGCCAGACATTGTGGCAGGCACCTGTAGTCCCAGCTACATGGGAGGCTGGGACAGGAGGATCGCTTGAACCCAGGAGTTTGAGGGTGCTGTGAGCCAGGCTGATGCCATGGTTGGTACTTTGGTATGGGCAACAACAGAGTGAGAGTCTGTCTCAAAAAAAGAAAGAAAAAGAAAAAGAGGCCAGGCACAGTGGCTCCCACCTGTAATCCTAGCACTCTGGGAGGCTGAGGTGGGTGGATTGCCTGAGTTCATGACTTCAAGACCAGCCTGTGCAAGAGTGAGACCCTGTCTCTAAAAAAAATAGCTGGGTGTTGTGGTGGGCACTTATAGTCTCAGTTACTTGAGAGGCTGAAGCAAGAGAATCGCTTGAGCCCAAGAGTTTGAGGTTGCTGTGAGCTATGATGTAACAGCACTCTACCAAGGGTGGCAAAGTGAGACTCTGTCTCAAAAAAAAAAAAAAAAAGAGAGAAAAAGAGAAAAAGAAAAAAAGACCCATATAGTGGCTCACACCTGTAATCCTTGCACTCTGGGAGGCTGAGGTGGGTAGATTGCCTGAGCTCAGGAGTTTGAGACCAGCCTGAGCAAGAGCAAGACCTTGTCTCTACTAAATATACAAAAACTAGCCGGCATTGTGGTGAGCACCTGTCGTCCCAGCTACTCAAGAGGCTGAGGCAAGAGCATCACTTGAGCCCAAGAGTTTAGAGTTTCTGTGAGGTCTGATGCCACAGCACTCTACTCAGAGTGACAGAGTGAGACTCTGTCTCAAAAACAAAACAAACCTACCTCTTAAAAGGGAAGGACAGATAGAAGATAGATTCTAACACCGTTCTTTTCATGTCTGAAGATGTCTCTGAACGTGTTTTTCCCATTTTTAGTTTAGACTTGCTGGTACTCCACCTTTCATTTTTCTTTAGAGAAAGGGTCTCACTATGTTGCTCAGCCTGGCCTCCAACTTCTGGGCTCAAGCAATCCTCATGCCTCAGCCCCCTGAGCAACCAGTATTGGAAGCATGCACCAGCACACCAGGCTAATCCTCCAGCTTTTATCCCTCCCTCCTGTTTCCTTCTGTCCCTTTCTGCCTTCCTCTCATCCCACCTCTTTGTCTCTGGCCTCCCCTCTCTGTCCTTATTTCTTTCCATCCCTCACTGTGTCTCTTCTCTCTTCCTTTCTCTCCTTGTTATGGCATTGTTGACTCAAATGTGCTGACTGTGCATTCTGGATTTAGACCTTCAGCTTCTCCAGCTGATAAGGTTACAGATCAGACCCTCCAGTCCTGTCATCCCTTCCCCCTTGTCAGCTTTCTCACCACACTTCAAACCTTCAGGTTCCCAGCCACAAACAGCCCAGAGCTATGCATACTCCCCACGTCTACACACGAGATCCAGCCAGTGGTCCACAGACATTTATTGAGCATCTGTCTGACATGGGGAAGATTTGATTTTCAAATAAGGTCTCGGTGCAGGTCAATCTAGTCCTGCCTGAGATGTTTTTGTGGGGTAGGTGCTTTCCTTGAGGCCACAAAAGCCAATAGGATATTTGCTCACATCGCTGCTGCCCCTTACTCTAGGAACTTCTGCCTCCTGCAAAATCTGGCTTCTCCATCCCTTTGTCATGGAACGCCCTCAAGGTGGGGCAGTGTGGTAACTGATCTAAACAGGTACCGTAGCCAGGCTTGCAGCTGGCAGCCCTTTGGGCTGCTCCCACCCTCTGTGGCCCTGGGCTAGGGCTGCCAAGCTAAAGGCTGAATACATGATCTGAGGTCACCCAGGCTTCCAATAGGCCTTGGCAAGGCAGGTGCATCATAAATTCTGGTCACCAGGCAGGTTCATTCCCCAAAGCCTAACTAAACTTTGGTCCCTATGTTCTTTTTGTTTCATGCATCTTCTGGTTGAAGTGAGGGGTTCCTGAAGGAGGAAGACGGATGACATAGGGGGTGCCTGAGGCTTAGCCCTTACCTTGCCCTTCACCTACTACTGCTTATTCCTTGCTCTAGACTGTGCTTCAGGCCCTGGTTCCCTGTGTGGGCTGTTTCCGGGGAAAGCTAGCTAGGCAAAACCTCAGGAAGCCAGTGCTGGGGCACAGGCCTTCTTTGCAGCTTCATCTCCCAGCCAAGGCTGAGAACCAAACAAGAGTCACCCAGACATGACTTATAGCTCTGTGACCATGGAGAAAACACTGCTTCTTACCAGTCTTGATTTGCAGAGTGATCTCTATATGTCCTTCTGTATTAGTCAGAGTTCTCCAGAGAAACAGAACTATGAGGATAGATAGATATAAATATAGACATGGAGATTCATTACTAGGGATTAGCTCATGCAATTATGGAAGCTAAGTCCCATGATCTGCTGTCTGCAAACTGGAGGCGCAAGAAAGCCAGTGGTAGTCCAAAGTGGTAGTCCAAAGCCAGTCCAAATCTGAAGGCCTGAGAACGAAGGGAGTCAAGGGTATAGGTTCCAGGCTCGGCGCCTGTGGCTCAAGCGGCTAAGGTGCCAGCCACATACACCTAAGGTGGCGGGTTCGCATCCCCAGCCCGGGCCCACCAAACAACAATGATGGCTGCAACCAAAAAATGGCCAGGCGTTGTGGCGGGCGCCTGT